TTTGTAGCCCTTCATCTCAGCTAGCTACTGGCCAAATATCATCACCCTGGGCAGTTTGGTTATTGAGAAGAAGTTGTTTAAAGTTTTTAACATATTTGACCCCTGTGACCTTGAATATGGATGAAGGTCATTCATTTGAACAAACTTTGTAGCCCTTCATCTCAGCTAGCTACTGGCCAAATATCATCACCCTGGGCAGTTTGGTTATTGAGAAGAAGTTGTTTAAAGTTTTTTTTAATACAATAGACCCCTGTGACCTTGAATATAATTGAAGGTCATTCATTTGAACAAACCTGGTAGCCCTACACCAAAGCATGCTACTGGCCTAATATCATCTCCCTGGGCAGTTTGGTTATTGAGAAGAGGTTGTTTAAAGTTTTTTTTAATACAATAGACCCCTGTGACCTTGAATATAATTGAACGTCATTCATTTGAACAAACTTGGTAGCCCTTCACCAAAGCATGCTACTGGCCTAATATCATCTCCCTGGGCAGTTTGGTTATTGAGAAGAAATTGTTTAAAGTTTTTGACATATTTGACCCCTGTGACCTTGAAGATAGGTGAAGGTAATTAATTTTAACAAACTTTATAGCCCTTCATCCAAGTTTGCTTCTGGCCAAATATCGATACCCTAGGCCTTTTGGTTATTAAGAAGAAGTCGTTTAAAGTAAAATATTGACGCCGGATGCTGGACGCCGGCCGGCTGGCCGGACGAAGGACGCCGCGCCACGGCATAAGCTCACTTGGCACTTTGTGTCAGGTGAGCTAAAAATCTCTTAATCCCGATGGTCGGAGAAGGATTTTAAAGGTTTTACCACTATTTCTCCTATTGGGCCACGCCCTTCTGCCCCCTCGGAAACCACACCTACTGCTAATACAAAATTGAGTCCCCTTCGCCCAAGGATTCTCCAGACTAAATTAGGATAAAATCCCTTAATCCCTATGGAAGAAGAAGGATTTTAAAGGTTTTACCTTTATTTTCCCCATTGGGCCCCGCCTCTCTGCCTACAGGGGGGTCAGACACATTGTTTATACAAAATTAGTTCCCCTTCACCCAAGAATGCTTCAGACAAAATACGGACAAAATCCTGTCATTCCTACCGAAGAAGATGGATTTTGAAGATTTACGTCTATTTCCCCTATTGGGCCCCACCCCTCAGGTCCCAGGTGGGCCACACCCACCGTTTATACAAAATTGGTTCCCCTTTACCCAAGGATGTTCCACACCAAACATGTACCAAATCCTTTCATTCCTGCAGAAGAATAAGGATTTTAAAGAATAATTTGCTATGTTTCCCCTATTGGGCTCTGCCCATCAGGCCCCTGGGGAGCCAGACTCATGGTTTATAAAAAATTGGTTCCCCACTACCCAAGGATGCTCCACACCAAATATGGACCAAATCCTTTCATTCCTACAGAAGAAGAAGGAATTTAAAGAATAATTTGCTATTATTCCCCTATTGGGCCCCACCGCTCAGGCAGGGGGGCCAGATCCACTGTGTATACAAAATTAGTTCCCCTTCACCCAAGAATGCTTCAGACCAAATATGGAACAAATACTTTCATTCCTACAGAAGAAGAAGGATTTAAAAGAATATTTTGCTGTGTTTCCCCTATTGAGCCCGGCCCCTCAGGCCCCTGGGGAGCCAGACCTATGGTTTATACAAAATAAGTTCCCCACTACCCAAGAATGCTCCACACTAAATATGGACCAAATCCTTTCATTCCTACAGAAGAAGGATTTTAAAGAATAATTTTCCATATTTCCCCTATTGAGCCCCGCCCCTCAGGCACCTGGGGGGCCAGATCCACGGTTTAAACAAAATTGGTTCCTTTTCACCCAAGGATGCTTAAGACCAAATATGGAACAAATCCTTCCATTCCTACAGAAAAAGAAGGATTCTAAAGATTTTGCTACAATCCCCCTATTGGGCCCAGCCCCTCAGCCCCCAGGGGGGCCAGACCCACCATTTATACAAACTTTGTTCCCCTTCCCCCAAGGATGCTTCTTATGGAACAAATCCTTTCATTTCTACAGAAGAAGAAGGATTTTAAAGAAGAATTTGCTATATTTCCCCTATTTGGCCCCGCCCCTTAGGCCCCTAGGGGCCAGACCCATCATTTATACACCAAATTTTGTTAAAATCGCTCAGTGGTTCATGACTAATAGTGTAAAGTTGACAGACGACGGACAATGGACGCTGCGGTATGGCATAAGCTCACCTTGGTCCTTCGGATGTAGGAGAAAATCTCCGGATAAAAAAAATCAAATACTGAAATTGTCGAATCCAAATTCTTTTCAAGGAAACACAACAACATATCATGATCATTTAGCCTACTATGTTTCAAAGAAAACTTTTGCAAATATTGTCTAATCAAAACTCTTTTAAGGGAGACACAATTTCATATCATGGTTATAATGTATAACAAGTTTCAAAGAGATCGGTCAAAAATGTAGGAGGAGATTGCCGGACGGACAAAAGTTTACGCCGAAGGGACAGACGGACAACACCATACCATAATACTCCTGTCAAATTTGACGGTCGTATAAAAAGTGTCAAACACAATCATATCTGGTTCAAAAGGTCATTCTGAGAAAATAACTTAGCTCTCAATCCAACCAGTTGGCTATTTTTTGTAGATAGTATTAGTAAACAACACCTACCTGAGAAGAGATAGTGGGTTGAGACTGAAGATCAGTAATTCATTGCTATGTTCCTGTAGGTAAAGAAAAACAAAATTCAACATGTATTTGTGAACTTTATATTATTTTCACTGTGAGCGGTCTGCCCGAAAGGCAAGTGAGCTTATGCTGTGGCACAGTGTCTGTAATAAAGGGATATATAAGTATGTTCAACTTAATGACCATGCTAGACTTGTCTGTTAGACTTTCAAGGTCACAGGGGTCCAATATGTTTAAATCTTTTAAAAGGTTCTTTTGAATCAAAGATGATAGTATTTTGCCTGTAGCTTTATTTTAGTCCACTTTTAAGGTTACAATTGTGAGATTAACATAAGCTTAGTGATGCAAAACCACTCTTGTTTCTTCGAAACGTTCACTGTGCCTTTTTCATATGTTAATTAAATCTGATGTGTTTGTCACTGTTACTGACTGTGGGTTCCTCCAAACTAAGAATGTTGTTTGTACATCCCCCAAACACCACCACCTGGCCCTCTAGTGTCCTGCAGGCTGTGTGCCAAAGGTGAGGCTTGTATTCTATGTAATGGTCAAGTTTTGTCCATTTTAAGACAACTATGTCCAGTATCCAGGCATCATCTGAAAAAAAATTCAAATAAAATGTAAGAAATAAGATATAATTTGTCAACAAAAACGAAAAAGGCAAAAAAGTGATGTACATCTGAAACAAGAGGCCCAATAGGCCTGGATCTCTCACCTGATATTAATCTCACACTTGTAATCTAAAATACGACTACAGGCAGAATATCAGTGTTTGATTCATAAGAACCTATTAAATGATTTAAACATATGACGCCGTGACCTTGAATGTCAAACAAGGACATTAGGTTGGACATTAGGTTGGACAGAGTTTATAGTCTTCCAACCCAGCATGCTTCTAGTAAAATATCATTACTCTGGATCTTTTGGTTATACAGAACAAATCATTAAAAGATTTAAACATATATTGACAACTGTGACCTTCAATATGGGTGAAATTCATTCATTTGAACAAACTTAGTAGCCCTTCATCCCAGGATGTTAATGACCAAATATGATCACCCTTGGCCTTTTGCTTATTAAGAAGAAGTCATTCAAAGGTTTTAAACATATTTGACCCTCTGACTTTGAATATATGTCAATGTCATTCATTTGAACAAACTTGGTAGCCCTTCATCACAGCATGTTACTGGCTAAATCAAATCTCCCTAGGCCTCTCGGTTATTCAGAAAAAGTTGTTTCAAGGTTTTAAACGTTGAATATAATTCAAGGTCATTCCTTTGAACAAACTTGGTAGTCTTGGTTTTAAACATATTCGACCCCTGTGACCTTGAATTTAAATCTGTTGAAAAGAAAATGTTTAAAGGTTTAAAACATATTTGACCCCTGTGACCTTGAAGATAAGTCAAGGTCATTCCTTTGAACAAACTTGGCAGCCCTTTATCCCAGCATGCTACTGGACAAATAGCATCACCCTAAGCCTCTTGGTTATTCAGAAGAAGTTATTTAAAGAGTTTAACATATTTGACCCCTGTGACCTTGAATATAAGTCAAGGTCATTTATTTGAACAAACTTGGTAGCCCTTCATCCAATCAATCTCCTGGACAAATATCATCACCCTAGACCTCTAGGGTATTCAGTAGAAGTTGTTTAAAGGTTTTAAACATATTCGACCCCTGTGACCTTGAATTTAAGTAAAGGTCACTCCTTTAAACAAACTTGGTAGCCCTTTATTTCAGCATGCTACTGGACAAATATCATCACCCTAGGGCTCTTTGATATTCAGAAGAAGTTGTTTAAAGGTTTTAAACATATTTGACCCCTGTGACCTTGAATATGAACAAGGTAATTTATTTGAACAAACTTTGTAGCCCTTTATTTCAGCATGTTACTGGCCAACTATCATCACCCTAGGCCTCTTGGTTATTCAGAAGAAGTCGTTTAAAGGTTTTAAACATATTTGACCCCTGTGACCTTGAAAATGGATGAAGGTAATTTATTTGAACAAACTTTGTAGCCCTTTATTTCAGCATGCTACTGGACAAAAATCATCACCCTAGGGCTCTTTGATATTCAGAAGAAGTTGTTTAAAGGTTTTAAACATATTTGGCCCCTGTGACCTTGAATATGAACAAGGTTATTTATTTGAACAAACTTGGTAGCCTTCATCCAAGCATGTTACTGGCCAAACATCATCACCCTAGGCCTCTAGGTTATTCAGATGAAGTTGTTTAAAGGTTTTTAACATATTTGACCCCTGTGACCTTGAAAATGGATGAAGGTAATTTATTTGAACAAACTGAGTAGCCCTTTATTTCAGCATGTTACTGGCCAACTATCATCACCCTAGGCCTCTTGGTTATTCAGAAGAAGTTGTTTAAAGGTTTTAAACATATTTGACCGCTGTGACCTTGAATATGAACAAGGTTATTTATTTGAACAAACTTGGTAGCCTTCATCCCAGCATGTTACTGGCCAAACATCATCACCCTAAGCCTCTTTGTTATTCAGAAGAAGTTGTTGAAGATTTTAACATATTTGACCCCTATGACCTTGAAAATGGATGAAGGTAATTTCGGGCCAGGTGAGCTAAAAAAAATCTTAAATAACCAACATTGGAAATTAATGGAATTGATATCCCCTCCCCCACTTACAGCAAATAGCATACATATGATCAGTTTTCGTCTTTTCCGGTGAATATTAATTTCCTATTCGTCTTGGTGAAAGGTGAGTGCGCTTTCCATTGCACCAACCAGCCACCCAAATCATACTTAGAAGAGTTATACACAGAAACCAAAAAAACATCAGAAGCAGAATTGGCAGTCCAACTTATCTTGACTCTTGCATATTCTAATGTGCAGACAAATTATGGTTGAAATTGAACCATTTTTAGGGAGTAATTGCACAGAAACCAAATGAGTGAGACGGACATACAACCTCAAATTAATATCCCATTTTCTCCAAAACTGGTTTAAATCTTTATACAGAATCATGAGAAAATATTCTATTTATTTGTACTTCATAAACTGACATAAGGAGAGGCCAAAAGGCCTGAACAGTCAGCTGAGTGGTAATATGGCTATTTGTAGCTCACCTGGCCTGTAGGACCAACTGAGCTTATGCCGTGGTGTTGCGACTGTCGTCAGTCCATCCAGATTTTTACCAAGTTTGCTGAAATGAATTACCTTGACCTATATTTAAGGTAACCAGGTTCACTTGCCTTTAAAAACCTTTAAACAACATCTTCTGAATAACCAAAAGGCTCCGGATGTAATATTTTGCCAGTAAAATGCTGGAATGAAGGGCTACCAACTTCTTCAAATAAATCACCTTGACTAATATTCAAGGTTGCAGCGGTCAAGTATGTTTATAACAAATTTTTTTTTTCAAATACGCAACAGTCCCATGTTGTTGATTATTTGCAGGTGACATGCTGAAGGGCTACCAAGTTTGCCTATATCAATGACCTTGACCTATATTAACAAGAGCCTACCAAGTTGCCTATATCAATGACCTTGACCTATATTAACAAGACGCCCAAGAGCCTTAGCGGTCACCTGAGTTATATCATAGGTACTGGTAGCTCAATGTCATAGTTTAGATGTGATGTGGAAATCAACATATAAACAAAGTGAAATACAATACTTGTCATTTCACCAAAAGATAAGAATTTTAAAATATTGGTAAATGTTCCCTTTTGGGCCCCATCCTAGCCCTTAGGGATGGGGCAGAATCCCAATTTTACAATGTAATACCCTCATTCACCAAAGATGATTCTGACTAAGTTTGAGTAATTTTCTGCTGAAAATGGATAAAATATACCCAAAAGTGTTATTTCCCTATACAAGAGGCCCATGGGCCTTAACGGTCACCTGATATATTTATACAGAAAGTTGATTTTTGTTTTTAACATGAACAGAAATATTATTCAAAGTGACAAAAAACAATAAAACCACCTTATTCAATATCTAGCATGCAGATTTAAGACTGATAAGTATTTGAAACTAGCACCTCTGATTCTAAACAAGGAAAATGAAGAAATTTTATTTTAGCACACAGACTCCATTGTGCCCCACCCTACAGCCCTTGGGGGTAGGGATAGCTCAAAATTTTCAAAGTATCAAACTGTCAACTTAGGGTTATAATTCCAATCAAGTTATTAACACGTAATATTCAAAGTATCATTTGCCATTATAAACCATAACAAATTTTGCCCCCCCCCCTCCTTCCCCAGGGGGTAAACGTTAGACCCTAGGGTCATAAACCTTAAGACCCTTCCATCTANATTCACAATTTGAGTTGACCTTTCGCCATGGAAGGTTTCTGCAAAATTTCATTGAAATTGGTTCAAGGGTTTTGGAGAAGAAGTCGAAAATGTAAATTGTTTACGGACAGACGGCACCCAACAAAAGGGGATCGCAATAGGTCACTTGAGACTTTGTCTCAAATGACCTAATAAACTATAGTAAACTTTATCCCCTCCCCAAGGGAGAACGGATAGCTCGGGGGTCCTGAAATATATTTACAATTTAAATAAAGCCCTTGATGATCTTTCTTTCAATGCAGAGAAAATGACTGTAGTACCTCTGAGTCTGGAGAGGAATATTTTTGAAATATTGGTTAATTTTCCCTTTGGGGCCCCACCCTGGCCCCAGGGGTTGGGGTAGGAATCTCAATTTTATAATTTGAAACAATCTTTCTCCAAGGATAATTCTCACTGAGTAAAAATAATTTCCTACATAAAGTTGTCAAAATATACCCAAAAGTGTTATTTCCCTATATAAACTATAGTAAACTTTACCCCCTCCCCAAGGGTGAAAGAATAGCTCAGGGGTCCTTAAATTTACAATTTAAATAAAGCACCTGATGATATTTCTTTCCATGCAGAAAATGACTGTAGTACCTCTGAGTCTGGAGAAGAAGATTGTTGAAATATTGGTTAATTTTCCCTTTGGGGCCCCGCCATTTTACAAATTTGTAGCCTCATCTACCAAGGATGATTCTGACCAAGTTTGAAAAACATCCATCCACTGGTTCTTGAGCAGAAGTTGAAAATGTAAAAAGTTTAAGCACGATGGACGAGGCACAACGACGGATGGAAAGTGATTAGAATAGGTCACTTGAGCAAAGCTCAGGTGACCTAAAAAAAGACCAAGCCCCTGTTTTCCCTTTGGGGGGCAACCTGCCCTGGCCTCTAGGGTTGGGGTAGGAATCCCAATTTTACAGTTTGAAACCATCTTCTTCTAAGGATGAATCTCGCCAAGTAAGAATAATTTTCTACTGAAAATTGACAGAATATACCCAGGGGATAGGGCGGGGCGGGGCCCTAAAGGGAATTTACCAATGTTTTCAAATTCTTATCCTTTGATGACATGACAAGTATTGTATTTCACTTAGTTTACATGCTGATTTCCACATCACATCTAAACAATAAAATAAAGCTACCAGAGTACCTATGATATAACTCAGGTGACCGCTATGGCCCTTGGGCCTCTTGTTACTTGTATTTCCCCTGTTGGGCCCTGCAACTCTGCCCCCAGGGGGTCCAAACCCAATGTTTATACAAAACTGAGTCCCCTTGGCCCACACATGCTCCAGA